CCAAAATGCTGAGCAAGTCCATGGTGGACATGGCCAAGCCAGCGCCGTTCACCATGCAGGCAATGCTGCCGTCCAGCTTGATGTAGTTCAGGTCATACTTCTTTGCCTCCACTTCCATGGCGTTCTCCTGCGACGTGTCCCTCTGGGCGTGGATCTCCTTCTGGCGGAACTCAGCGTTGTCGTCGAAGTTGACCTTGGAGTCGCAGACGAGCACGCGGCCGTCCTTGAGCGTCGCCAGCGGGTTGATCTCCAGCATGGTGCAGTCGCATCCGATGAAGCACTTGTACAGATTCGAGATGAGCGCCGTCGCTTCCTCGGTGCTGCAGGCAGACATGCACCACACACCACCAGGCTGGCCCGAGCGCATTTCGGGCCAGACACTGTTGCACGTGGCTTCCTGGGCCTGGCTGGGAGCCGATTGCGGAAAGGGCCTTGAGCTGGCCCGGTGGCGGCGTGCGTTTGCCTCCATCAATATCGCTGCACATATCCCTATCCCTAACGGGCCAAAGTTCGTTCACGCCACCAGCCTACCGCCTCTGCGCGGGGATAAGTGCCACGGAGCCCGACGGAAACTGCAGATATCCCCATCTAGGGAGGTCGGTCGGCCAGCGGGTAAACGTTTAACCGATGGGGATGGGTACTGGTCGATCGGCGCTGACTTCAACGGATCCTTGTTCTGATCGCCAGAATACCTGAGGGTAACAGCAAACAGATGCCGATACCGTCTCTCTCCAGACCTGTCCAGGTTTGCGCTCTGGCCCAGACTTTGAGGCGAACCTGGCCGTGGCGACGAAGGCCCTGGAACGCCCACAGAAGCGAACATGGGGGGAGGCGGAGAGGGGGCAGCGGTGTAAACATCTTCTCCTCCTCCGCGCACCCCATCTGGGTGGCCATGCTGGATGCCACCTCGTCGGTGATGCCAGTCATGATGTCCACTGGCATCTTGATGATTGCGGTGGGGTCCGCGGCCGCGATGTCCTCGATCGACGTGCCGCCTACCTTGCTCCCGATCATGAGGGGGCCACCGCTGCCGCGGTCCATCAGGATGGCGAAGTACTTCTCGTCGGCGATGGACACCTCTATCCTCCTACTCCCTTCTCAAACCTCACCTTCCCTAACCTTCCCTCTCCTCTCTCCCACCTCCTCCCCCTCCCTCCCTCTCCTCCCTCGCACTTCCTTCTCCGCCCTCCCTCCCCCATCCTCCTCCTAATTCCTCCTCTCTCCCTCCTCCCCCTCCTCCTCATCCTCCCCCTCCTCCTCCTCCTTCTCCTCCTCCTCCTCCTCCTCCTCCTCCTCCTCCACCTCCTCATCTCATCCTCCTCCTCCTCGTATCCTCCTCCTCCTTACCCCTATGGGAGCCGCAGCCGCAGCCGCCAGCCGTGCTGCCCCCCCCTTGCCGCGCAACGCCCACCTCCCCGCTCGGGCCCGGGTCGCGTCGCCGCCGTGAGGCGCGTCGGTGGTGCCGCCGCTCTCCCCGGCCGCCGCCGCCCCCCCCCCTCGCCTGGCCCAAGGCGCACCCCCCCGCTTCGCGCCTGCGCGCTGCTCGAAGCGCGTACATTTCGCGCTTCGCGCCGCCTCCCATGGAGAAGGGTGGAGGAAGGAGCAGGAGGAGGAGGAGAGGAGGAGGAGGCAAGGAGAAGGGAGGAGGAGGAGGAGGAGGAGGAGGAGGAGGAGGAGGAGGAGAAGGAGGAGGACGAGGAGGAATTGGAGCCGAACCGCGAAGCGCGAATAACTTCGCGACCTCGAGGGCGCCCTTGCGCTGCACCTGGAGGCCCTGCAATGCTGGTTCTCCCGCTGCAGCAGTAGTGGCTCTCCCGCTGCTGCCGCTGGCCCCCATCTGCATCTCCTGGCGCCGCACCTGGCGGTCCTGCAATGCTGGTTCTCCCGTCGCTGCCGCTGGCCCCAACTCTCGTCCTGCACCACGCTCTACCGTGCACAGGCCCACTGCTCGTCCCGACGTCTCCGTCCGCTGCCACAAGTGTGCGCCGCGGCCCCTCGAGCCTCGTCCTGGACGGTTCCGATCGGTCTCCGCAGT